TACGATTATTCTTAACTTGAAAATGTGTTTAATTTCTCCGATATGCAGATTTACTTGTGATATTTTCTTTTACTGCCGGGCTCATGGTATATCAGCGTTTAATGACGATCGAAATCAATGTTACAAGTGGTATAAAATTATTCTCAAAAATATTTGGTTTCAGCTAATTTTAATATTTGTGATTTTTCTAGTATTATTTATACAGATTATTAAATATCGAAATACTGGGCTTCTGTTTACCTCGCGGGGTCATTTGTACGTTACTAAGACTAAATTTCTGTCGGTATATCTATCTGGGCAGTATGACTCAACTGATTATGCTGAATTTACATGAACAACTAAAGAATACCAGCATGACCGTGAACGTATAGGAACATGCTCTATTTTATCTAAATTTGCAAGATTTCTTTTGTAAAATTGTTAAACGGAAAAAATGGGTTTTAAGATTAACTAATATCTTCTTAAGTATATAGAAAATAAATTTCAAACATTAACCTTTTTGTTTGCACGTTTTTACCTGAAAGGAGGAGAAGAGAAAGTGTTAGCATTTAAACAAACATCAAAAAGAAAATCACAAAATCTGGACCCGATAGGTGGTTTCATGGCCGAATTTTAAGAAATTTTATTTTCTAATTGAACTTGTGGCTTCTCCTATCAGAAAGAGTTACATCTGCAGAGCCAATTACAAGTTCTTTACAAGTACTGTACAAAAATATTTTAAAAACTAGTATTTCTGTTCCAAAATATCAATAAATCTCATTAATGATATTAGCAAATGTCCTTCACATTTGAAAAGAAATCGTATACTTTCAAACTTATTGTTTAAAGAGCGCTTGACCGTAATTCCCTGTAAGATGTTAAATATAAAACAACTCTCAAACTATGGACCTTTCGTAGTTGAACTAAGTGGAAGTTTGCGGAAAAGTTTCACGTTTCTAACAAAAAGATTTGCGGAAATAAATCAGACAAGCTAATAAGAGAAGAAAGGATCATTTGAAATTATTTGACGGTGATACATCCCGTGCGTGTAAGAGGCAAAAGTGTTAAACTGATACAGTCGGAGCTGATAGAGTCATTGCGAAGACTTATGTCTAGTGGCTTTCCTAATAAATGACAAATGCAATAGTTTAAATATAATGAAGTCAATTATGAATAAAGAAAGATTAGAAGTCCCACTAGAGTTTCGATAGCTAAATTAGTTTGCTTCAGTTCCTTTAATACCATTATGTCTTTTTGTAGATATAAGACTGACTTAGAAACTAAATGTGTTTTGAAGTAGAGGGCCATAAAAGATATGTATATTTCAAAATCGAAAAAGTATCTCATATTTTTTGAAAGAAATGAATACATAACCTTTGGCCTCTCAGATCAGATGGTAGACAGTGATAAACAGAAAGAAAAAAACACAAGCTAGTGATATCAGTTCCTCGAGTTCAGAGTCAGTAATTTATTCTTTTATATAAACAAGTTCATTTATTTCACAAAACTGTATAAAAATTGTTATTATAACATCACATAACGATACTTTTTTTATTCAATATAGATTGTAAATAATACTTATTAAAAGTCACGCTCATTAATTGACCCCTGCACTGCTTCGGAAAAAAAATTATACATGGTTGATAATAACCCCTGGGAATGAGGTGATCGTTTGCAAGCTGTTTCTTAAATAAGTTTTGTAAGTAATTTTGTACAGCCTGTGATTTCTACTGTATATTATTTTAAAAGACAGTTCCATTAGGTTTCTCTCTGGTTCTTCCTAGATTATATGATTTTTCCTTTGAGTAGTAAACCAATACTCAAAGGCATTTTCTGAATAAATGTAAAAAAATACTTTATATAGGACTTACTTACAAGTTAGAAAGAAATAAAATAAAATATATTATTATTTTATGGGGTATCTATATAGTTTTCTCATCTGGTTGGGTTTTATAAATATATAATTGCGAACGGAAATGATAAATATACATTAATAACAATAAAATAAAACAAAAACATAAAAAAATACATACATAAAAAATATATACATATAGTTAGGGGGAAAGGGAAAGAAACCGGCGGACAATGCGGGCGTATCGAGGAGCACCGCCTTCTGTATTGAGCCCGGAGCAGTCCGTCACTGAGTCCAAGTCGCCTCAGATGACCCGAGAGGCTGACTGAGATTAGCCCGTTTGCAGAAACGACTACAGGTATAATTTCTGTTGACAGCCCACCCCACATGTCAGTCACCTCGTGAGCCAGGTCCTATTATTTGGTTCGCTTCTCTGTTTCGGCTTTAACGAGGTTCTCGTCATACGGAATGGTAATGTCGACCGAAAATATCCTTGACTATGCGCGGTCTATCAGCACAATATCAGGCTTATTCGAAAGAATAGTCCTGTCTGTGATGATGTCCCGGTCCCAGTAGAGCCTGCCGCGGTCATTTTCGAACACTGCTTCCGGCAAGTACTTGTAATACAGCAGTTTCCGGTCCACGAGACCGTATTTCAGAGCGAGCTCCTGGTGTAGAATTCTGGCTGCTAGGTTGTGCCTGTGCAAGTACTCAGAGTTAGAAAGCGCCGAACAACAGGAGATGACATGCCTAAGTGATTCACCGGGATGGCGACAAGCTCGACAGACGTCGACGGTGCCATCATTTAGGATGTATCTCTGATTGTTGTTGGTCTTAATAACCTGATCATGTATCGCACAGACAAAGCCCTCGGTTTCCCCGAAGAGGTCACCAAAACGTAGCCAGCTGAGGGAGGCAACTGTATCTACAAAGGGCTCATGTAGAGCCCTGTAGTACCTCCCGTGGAGCTCCTTCTACTTCCATACGGTCTCCCGGTCGGAAATGCTAAGCACTGCTGGGTCCTGCCATTGCTCGTTAGCTAAGGATAGAGGGGTAAGACCTTTATCACTAGAAATGACGTCATTATAGAATGGATCATCCGATCCCGCCAGGAAGTAATGACGGAGGCCGCACACTTCGCGATTATGCATGATGAGCACGCTCAGAAAGCCACGCCCACCATGCTTTCGCGGCAAGTACAGCCTCATTACCGACGATCTTGGATGATGCATCCTATGGGACGTCATGGTAGTGCGGACTTTTCTATCCAGGGCGTTAAGTTCAGTCAGAGTCCACCAGAGTATTCCAAAGGTATACATGAAGACAGGCATGACCCAACCGTTATATGCGTGTGTCTTATTCACACCGGACAAAAGGCTGTTAAACACTTTGGTCAAGCGTGCATAAAACACGTTGCAAACTGGCTGTTTCATACCAGCCTCATCGATACCGATGTTCTGTAACATACCCAGGTATAGGTATGTTTCAGTCTCGGAAAGGATCCTTAAGCTGACGGGCATAGATAAGTCTATGCCCTCAGAGTTAGCAACCTTTCCCCTTTCAACATGGAGGATCGCATACTTATCCGTCCCCAGCTCCATTCCAATGGAATTGCTAAATTCACGTGATGTTGAGCAATTCCATAAGATGGGAGCGACTGGAGGCGAATAACTTGAGGTCATCTATATAGAAAAGGTGGGTCACTTTTGTACCTCCTGCTGAAACCTGCCTGAAATCCCCTCCCGGAGCCCTCCAGTAAGGTACTGAGAGGGTTTAGAGAGAGGCAGAACCAGATTGGACTCAGACAATCGCCCAGGAAGATACCCTTTCTTATCCTTATGTGGTACGCCGCAGCCATCATCGCTCGCCCAGATGACAAAGGATCGTACTCCACTGTCCCATACACTGCTCGAGGAAGTTTTTTACTGTACAGTCTATCTTGTACAGCTTGAGGACTCTCTTTAGCCATGTATAGGGCACCGAGTCGAATGCCTTTCTGTAGTCTATCCAGGCTGCAGAGAAGTTCCGACGGTTGCGTTTCACCACTTTGCCAATGACCGCGTCAATGAGGAGTGGTTCCTTGGTTCCACGACCATCACCCCGACATCGAAGATCAGGTTACTACAGACCCGAGCAAATACCGCCCTACGTGTAGTAGTATCAGTAGTAGAATCACTCGTCACCTGGAGCTAAATCAGGTGATGTCACGCGCTCAAAATGGATGTCAGTGTCTTACATATGGTGGGTAGACACGAGATGGGGCGGTAATTGCTCGCGTCTGTGGTAACCTGATCTTTAGGAACCAAGTGAGTGATCCCAGTAGTGAAGAGGCTCAGGAGCGAATTCTGATCGAGAGCCTCTTGAAAGTGTCGGGCGAGCACAGCGTGACACACTACGAACCCCTTCAGCCAGTAATGACGCAGCCCGTCAAGCCCCGGACTTTTCCAGTTCGGGACCCTACGGAGCAACTCAGCTACGTCTTCCGGCGTTATGGTGACGGAGTCCATAGGCGTAACATTCGCACTCTGGCTCGCCACAACTTCCATCCAAGGGTCCTCGCTGTGGTTTACGGGCTCTGACCATAGGCCACGGCATAATGCGATACTGTTATGGCCTGATCCGGTCCTGGGCCTACTCCACATACCTCTGGTCACTCCAATGATTTATAGAGCCTCTTCTGATCACTCTGGAAGAGACGATTCTGGTTAAACCGCCTTGAACTCTCGGTAAATCATCGAATCCGCTTCCCCCAAGCAGCGATCTTTTGCTTCAGGTGTCTATGCGCTCCGTTAGTTTCTGCGTGATATACGGCTGGAACAAACTGATATTTATCCCAGCAAATACCATTCTAACGGTGCGCACCAACCTCGGTCTATTATTACCCGACCTAAAGCTTGTTAGTCTGCCGATAATGTCTCTTGCCTTTGCGATACGGTCCTCAATTCTTTTTCTCCAGGCTGGGATGGCGCTACTTTGTTTAGTAGCGCGTCCAGCCATGGGAAGTTTGGCGCCAATAATACGGCAAGCTGCCAGTGCGGCGCCAAAAAGAATTAAGTCCTTCTCGCAAAGGTCCCGGCTGGCTTCCAAATAGGTTACCAGCATTGTGTTAAGAGCCCTCACGATAACCCGATTTCGCTTGCTTATGGGTATGCGGGGAAGTCGCGGTCGATTATTGAGAGGCATGATGCGCGTTTCCAAAATCGCCTCTTCCAATATACTCCTCATTTTTCCTAGATTCATCGTCTTCCGAATCAACCACAACTGGAAGATCCATGGCGGCTTCCACGCCTGGATGCTGGTCTGTCGTCTGAGGAGCCTTATCCTCAGCCATAGCCAATTCATACGATGAGGAAATGGTCTCACGTCGTAGTCGTTCGAGCTCGGCATCATCAAATATTTTCGAGCGCATGATGTACCAAACTCGGTCTGCCAGGTTTTGTTTCGTGAGAGGAATAGATGGCTCCAGCTCAGCAAAAACGCAATGCATCCGAGCCCGATACGCTATCCCTGCAGTTTCTTCCCCTTTCGCCCTGTAGTACGCCTGCAATGCGTTTGCGTTTGTGGCCGTGGAAGGAAAAGGGGAGATCTCCCGCTGGGCAAGGTGTTCTGCCCGGGGAGCGGCCAACGCTCCGTGTGATAGTTCGGAGATGTTCTATATATACTGTTTATGATTCGGAATGTTGATAGCGTGATTTAGGATTCAGTGTATTTCGCTTGTGGCGCGACGACAGCGCCGATACACGTTCATATTTTTTCCAACGCATGCGGCGTGGCGGATGCCGCTGGTGGAGTGCGCCGCACGAACTCGGCAGTTCAAGAGGGCCCTGCCGACATCAAGCCATCTGGTGAGGATGATGGATGCGGAGGGCTTCTAGGTGATCGTGCAGCTCCTCGCGCTCATCTGGCAGCCCGTATGCTGCCGCGTCCAGTGCGACCAGCACCAGACGCGCCCCGGCGACCACCAGGCAGCGGCCCTATACGCTTTTTATTAAAATTCATCATCCATATTTGGGCACCAATTAACGGGACACGCCCAGGCCCGGCACCGTTTCATTGTATCATTGTATGGCCGACCGTAGCAGTTTTCTCATATAACTGTTACGTCAGCGGGCGATGGGGTCGTCACGTCCCTACGCCTATTTTTATTATTACGATATTGAATAAAAATACTAAATCAAAATTAATATCCACATTGGTTTAACTTACGTTAACGTTTTGAAATGAATTGAGCTCATTCGATGTGATTCTTTGTATTATTGTTTTTCTTTGTTACTCTCGATGCAAAACTTCAGTGGGCAACATATTGTATCGAAATTACTATGCAAACCAAGCTCTGCAATATATACTCTAAAGAAATTGGAAAATGTACATGTTTTGTGCAGCTAGATTAGTTCATTTCAGTTATTTCTTTGACATTATGACTTATAGAATTTTGCTATGGGGAAAGGCGATCAACTTAGACCGACCTGTTTAAAGTAAAATATATGCCATCAAAAACATAACTTGTAAAAAAACCAAGTCTCGTAACTCAGTTCTTCCATCTTATAATGTTGTGAGATCCATGTAATACCAAGTCGGTTAATTTATTCAGTCCCTCCTTAAGGGTCCTCCTGTCTTAAGTTATTACATGGATCTCTCAACTTTTTAAGATAGAAGAACTGAGTTGCGAGACTTGTTTTTTTTACAAATTATGTTTTTGATGGCATCTCATTTCTTTTTGCAGATAGCCCTACTTCTTTTCCTTCTGGCTTCTTAATTACCAACAAAGTACCTTTCTACACCTTTTATTCCAATATATTATACATATACAGATACATTGATTCATCCACTGCAAATGTAACTTTGAAATCCTATATATTTATATTGGATTACAAAGTTATTTATTCAGTTAGTGTATCTAGAAAACTGGACATAAATTGAAAAATATTTTAGTTTTTCCTTGATTTATACACTAAACACTAATTGTGTTCTAAGTTTGAAACTTCTATGTCTGCTAGAAGTGCCTTAGAGTTTTGATGATCGGTCAGTCAGTGAGTGACAAGGTTAAGAAACTTTGACTTATTATAATTCCTAAACTACGGGTTCAAATTGAATGAAATTTGAAATATACCGTGTCTATACAATGCCTGCTTGATTTCTTCAAATTTAGGTTCCTAGTTTTATCCATAACGAAGTTATAGGGGGTCAAAAATGGCCTGAATTGCTTCGAGAAAAGTATGGTACGGCCATGCCGCTTTTTTGCTCGACTTGGCGGGGGCACTGCTGTGCCACCAGATTATATACAGGTTAGTCTTAGAGTAAATATTAATAATATACAAGCTTATAAACAACCTAACGCCGAAAGATTCTCTTAGATATTTTTTTAAGAAATAATTATATTATCTTTGGCCCCTCAGTACATTTATGAAAATTTAATGTATGTTCAAAAACAAAAAGTAGTATTACTAAAAAGTGGAACACATTATGTAAACAGTAGAAAAAACACAATCTAGTGATATCAGTTACTCTACTCCAAACTGTCAGTAATTGAGGAAAGGCATTTGTTACGCTTTTATTTATTTATTATTATAATATGGTAAAATTTGTTGCGCATGGTATCTAATAGCATTAGAAATGGAAGTGGCAGGGAATTATAACATATTCATATATTAGAAATAGTAAAACGAAAGAGTAGAGTTCTACCCTGCCGCTTTATTGTTTAAAATTTAAATATTTTTGGTACATATAAAATAATTTTATTATACACTAGCTGGTTCCCGGCGCGTTTTAAATTTGAAAGAGTTCTATTGCTTAATTAGGAATAATAATACGTTTATTGCAATTGTATGATACTCGTATATAATTTTCAAATTTTGTCGGTAGGATACGCCCGTCACCTACTAAGTTGATTGTACTATAACCTTCGCCCAAGTGCAAGCAATAAGTTGACAATGTTTTAGCCATAGAATTTTATAATACACAATAGAATGGCTGTCAACCTTATTTTGTACGAAGATTGGCGGCACCGGGAGCACACATACAAGCAATTACGTCATATTACTATACAAACTCGATTCGCTGTGTTGACAGACGAAGCAAATTTACACATTTTAAGCTTTTATTAATCAAAAGCTTAAAATGTGTAAATTTGCTCAGTTCAAGATCATCATTAAAAAATAAATCGTTTAAATTTTAACACATATCTATTTGTAAATAGTGTGCAAACTAATCGAAAATTGGAAACGATTATAACGTCAAAAGAGATGTGTTGACATTTATGGTTGTAAATTGACATGTTAGTGACATTTTAGTGGCTACACGGGCTTCGCCTACTCCCCCGTTCTATTATATATTTATTATTGTGTTCTATGGTTTTAGCGCAATCTGAAAAACGGTAATGGCAGCGAATAAAATACGAAATAACAAACATTAATTTTTATATATTAGAAGAAGGTAAGATATTATGTGACTTTTAAGTGAATCTCACCCTCGCTTGGTAAAGAAAATAAGAGTATTTAGAGTAGTAAAAGTATTGCTGTCGAGTTCTTTGTTTTACAATTTACAGCAACGTTTTTACAAACTCGACGACGTTCCTTATAGTATTAGAAGTGATTCATTCTTTTTAGATTTTGAAACACGAGTTTTAAACTTTATTTAAAAACAATTTATACTTACTTACTTACTTATCTTCATGCACAATCCCTAACGGGGTAGCCAGAGAGAACAGATCGCCAAGTGTCACGATCCTTACATACCTCTTTCGCTTCTTTCAGGTGCATTAACTTCTTCATACATGCACGTCTAGGTATCCGAGTACTCTTGACCTTCCCCTCTTCGAGCAATTTGCTCACATGGTCTTCGAAAGTTAGTCTCGGTCTACCTCGACACCTTTTAATATTTACTTTTGCTCTATATATTTTCTTCACCATTCGGTCTTCACTCATTTGCTCAACGTGCCCAAACCAATTCCCCCCTATAGTCCCTATCAATTTTTGTGATAAGGTCATCTTTCAATCCTGCCATATTGCGAATCTCTTCGTTTCGCTTTCGATCGGCTATGGTAACGCCACACATTTTACGAAGAGATCGCATCTCCACTGCATTCAACTTGCTTTTATGCTTCTTCTGGCATACCCAGGTTTCGCTGCCATATAACAAAGTCGGTACCAACACTGCGTTATGTATTGCAAGGCGTGCACTCTTCACCGCGCCTTGTCTTTTGACTAATGCATTCAGGGCACCATTGACTTTATTTTCGGCAGCGACACGCCTATCCACATCTAAATCACATCTTCCATCCCGGCTGAAAGCACTCCCCAAGTATACAATTTCATTTACCTGTTCTAGACATTCCTGATTTACCCATATTTCACATTTCGTTCTCTCTTCGTCCTTTTCAAATACCAAAACCTTAGTTTTATTAGCATTCAAACGGAGACCTTTAATTTCACATTCCTCTTTCATACACGTGACTAATGCCCGCAGTTCTGCTTCTGATGGTGCAATAAGCACTGCATCATCAGCATACAGCAGACAATTTACTTTAATGTCACCCAATTTCACACCCAAACAGCTATTTTCAGCTTCTGTAAACAGCTGTCGAGATACAGTATGAACAGCCAGGAAGACATGACACACCCCTATTTTACGCCCGCTTGGACGCTAAACATGGGTGACCTGTCGGTCATGCCCTACCCGCACACAGGCTTTACAGTCATACTAAAGTGACTGTACAGCCCTTAACAATCGACCATCCACACCATATCCCGGCAACTGTTCCCACATTTTCTTCCTTATAACCTTATCAAATGCTTTCTCCAGATCCACAAAAGCACAGAAAATCCTCTGGTTAACACTCAGAAGCTTTTCCGTGATCATACGGAGAGAAAACATTTGATCCGTGCATCCTCTTCCAGGTCTAAATCCGCATTATGCCTCCCATAAGAATCTTTCCGATTTCTCTTGTATCCTACGTGTCAAAACCTTCGAGTAAACTATACTTGCTAAACTGGTCAAGCTGATCGCCCGATAGCACCCGCAGTCAAAATGTGAACCTTTACCTTTATATAAAGGCACAATGACCGCGGATCGTCAATCATCCGGGACATCTCCCGTCCGCCAGCACAAATTGCACAGCAGACGAAAGCTGTCCCAGACGCGATGCCCACCGTACTTGACCATTTCAGCAGTAACTCTGTCTAGTCCCGCAGCCTTACCACATTTCAAACTTCGAATCGCACGTTCAATCTCTTTCATGCTGATGACCTCAGTGTCATTGAGGTCCGTGTCTGGCGTGCCAGTCATGGCGTCACCCCCGGATCCTTCACTAAGATCATGACACGCATACATTTCTCTATAAAATTCACTCCATCGCTGCATGACGTCCGATTTTTCTGTGAGGACGTCATTGGTTCTCGAAAGCACTTTGTTCATTCTTAAGGCTATCGCACCACTCCGGGACCTTCCAACCTCTTTCCAGCAGAGTTTGGAGTTTTCCTTAAAGTTGTGCGACAACCTCTCGTCCGCTTCTATTCTACACCTTTCACGTACTTCCTCAATCAATGTTTTCGCATGAACTTTCTGCAGTTTATATCTTTCTTTCATCTTCTCTCTCATATTCATATTCATTTATTGATAAAATATAAGCTTACAGTATATACAACCAAATCGCTTATATCTATATAAGTAAGATAAAATACACAAGAATAAAAATCACCAATTATTAAATTTCCATACACAATATAAATTACAGCCACAACAGTATAATGAGATCTATTTACTATATCATAAATTAAACTTATTTACCTAAACATATACTATTCTACTATCTTACAAAGTTGTTTAAGAATATTAATACGTTTTTATACATTACGCTGGGTTTGTCAAAAAATATATCTGCGTCTGGATTGGCCCTGAGAAAACAGTTTATTAGTCTAACGGCTCTGGAAGTGGGACTGTTATCTACGTGTGGGGAGAGCCACGTACGCGGACAGGAGAGGAGTCTACGCTTACGTCTACCAACACCTCGCACATAATGGTCCGGTACATAAAGATGTATAGTCTCACGAACTGCAGGATTATCTACTTTGTTACTTAACAAGAAATAATAATGCATTATATGCATAAGTTCCCGCCTACACTGTAGGGTATCCAGACCAACCATGCCCGATACAAATGTTGACGGATATAGAAATGGGTAGTATCCATACTGGCGTTTATACAGATATCTGGCAAACTTACGTTGGATTTTTTCCACCATCATTGTATACATGATTTCTCGGGGGTTCCATACTAGGGCGTTATACTCTAGCTTACTTCGCACGTAGGCATTATACAGGAGTTTTATCACACGGACATTTTTAAACTGATGCGAAGTTCTTATTATGAAACCTAGACTTTTATTCGCTTCTTTGCACGTTTTAATAATATGTTCATGGAAATTCAATTTACTATCCATGATTAGGCCTAGATCGCGAATTGAATAGACACGTCCTAATGGAGTGCCTGCTAGCTGGTATGTCGCTGTGATTGGATTGCGTGACCGAGAAAAAGTTAGAGTCTTACACTTTGAATTATTAAGGGGCAACTTGTTTTTTACACTCCATTCAACCACTGCGTCAATGTCGCGCTGTAATGCCATACAGTTCTCAGCTCCGGTCACTGCATGGAAAAGTTTTATATCAGCGAACATTAAACATTTTTCCCTTGAGATATTACTGGGCAGATCGTTAATCATTATTAGAAATAGAGTTGTACCGAGCGTACTACCTTGACTAACACCCGAGCGTGTGTAATATTCTTGAGAAATATAACCTCTTAGCTTAACAAATTTCTTTCGGTCTCTAAGATAATCTGCCATAAATTTTAAAAGTGGTGTAGAAAATCCAAGCATTGCGAATTTCAATAAAAGGATATCATTATCAACAAGGTCAAACGCCATCTTAAAATCAAAATAGGCTGCGTCGACTTGACAACTTGACTTAACCCGAGTGGTCACGTAGTCCACAAACTGTATATGATTCGTCAAAGTAGAACGTTCCGGCCGGAATCCATGTTGACAGTTATCTAGAAGCTCACCTATTTGTTTATAAATGGAATTGTTTACAATGGATTCAAACACCTTGGCAAATACTGATAACACCGCGATAGGCCTGAAGTTAGTTACATCAGTGGACGAACCACTTTTAGGTACAGGAGTTACCCTGGACACTTTCCATGCATTGGGATAGAGGCATTGTTGAAGTGAGAGATTGTAGACATACAGTAATGGTTCCTTTAAAACTGCCATACAGTCCTTTATTAAAAACGAAGGTATGTTATCAGGGCCACAAGCTGCCGATGCCTTAAGACGGCGTATTGCCCATCGTAGATCTGAAGCTTTAATAATATTAATACTGACTTTGGTTACACAGTCCGCGTACATTGCATCGCGTTCCGCTGCCTCTACATTTAACAATGGAGTATCAGGTTGAAAAACTGAGCTGAAATACTGCGCGAATGCATCAATAGCTTGCTGCCCTTCTAAAATTCTATTATTATACACAAATTCCTTATTCTGTTGTCTATTCTTTCGTTTTTCTTTCACGTATTTCCAAAAATTTGAAGGTTCGCGTGCTATATCATTTTCAACTTTTATCATATAATTTATAGATGCTGTATTAATAAGTTTTTTTACTTTGGTTCTATAATATTTAAATAACGCCTATTAAATTCCAAGCCACGACTTTTAAACATTTTTAAATCAAAATATTTCAATTTTATGTATTTTATGATTTCTTTAGTATACCATTTTGGATATATATATTTATGATTGGTAGTTAAGGATTTATTGGGAACTCGTCTACTAATGACTTTATTAAGCTTATTATATAAGATCTCTAAAGCTACATTTACGTCCTGTTGGTGCATTAGGTCCGTCCAGTCCAAGTGATTTATATCAGTGTACAAGCCACAGAGATCTGCTTTACGGAAATTCCATTCTTTGCAAAGGTTCTGACATGGTGGAAATGGTATAATTATTGCAGCTCTTGTTGGTAGTGTAAGCACGATCTCTAACGGAAGGTGATAAGCATCAATAGGTACCAATGGTTCAACTTCGAATGACACAGTACAACTTCCGGAGTCTAGATTAGTCAATACCAGATCCAAGATGCATCCATATTTATTACAAACATTATTACATTGCTGTAAGTTGCAACATTTTAAGAAATTATGGAACTGAGTTTGAACTGATTTATTACGAGACCTTAAGTTGAAATCACCAACAATCAAGAATTCACAGTCAGAATATGTGTTAATGGCATTTTCTATACAATTTAATGCATCAAGATATTGCTTGTCATTGTAGTTAGGTGGTAAATATGCAACACACACTAAGAGTTTAATATTTTTCAACGTTAAAAGAGTAAATAACAATTCTTTATCATCAGTTAAACCATCTATGTTCGTAATTCTTTTAACGGTAAAACTATTCTTTACTGCTAAGAGAACACCACCCCATCCGACGTTACCTGCACGATCCTTCCTTAGCACAATATACTCGGGAGGGAACAGTTCAGAGTCATATACAGAATCGTTGAGAAAAGTTTCAGTAAGGATGACAAGATCTCTTGATATTAAAGACATATTATTATGGAAAGTAACAGTTTTTGTGCGTAGACCTCTTACATTTTGATAGTACAATAGTATTTTTTTAGATCGTACTTTATTACTACGTTTATTCTTTTTTTTGCGGGCTGTTCTATACGAGAAAAAAACTTAGTACTTTCTACTTGAGGATTGGTCTTTTGAGGTGTGCTTATTTTAGTGTAACCATAGTAGTTATAGTCGATATTTATATTATCTAGTATATTTTTGTAAATATATTGTATTCCCTTTTTTATTGATTTTCCCAGTTTTAAATGAGTACATGTCAAATGAAGTTAAGAGATTGGAATCATAAAAGTATGCATAATGATTGTTTTGTAATTCCAAATACATTAATTTATTAAATAATTCTATTTTATAATTATATATTGGTGATCCACATACGTATGTAGGAGCACATAGAATTATATTAGTATGAGAAATATGGTGTAATGCTTCCCTTACGGTTTTTACTAACTCTATACAATCACATGTAGTTCTAAAATCTCTTTCACCTATCATAATAATACAATAGTCCCACATATCGTATCCATGCAATTTTTTATCAATATTCTGGAGTAAATATTTAATATTACTATTCGGCGAGAAATAGCGGATGTAGTCAAACTGTTTACTGAACGTAGCATCAACAGCTGACAGCGTACCCCAGGATGAGCTGTTAGTCAGGATACACAATTTGGGTCTCTTACTTTTATCAATTTCTGAGTTTAAATTAATCGTGTGCTGAATTAGCGAGGATTCTTCGAATTCTTTAGCTTGGACTACCTTTTGAAGGGTTATGATTTGATTATTAAGGTCCGCTATTTCATTTTTGGCTGACTTCAGTTGCAGCTCGAGATCTTTAAGATTCTTCTCGAGGGTTAGGATGTTCCTGTTAGAGAATTCCTCTGTCTTGTTGTCACTGAATGCCCTGGGCGGTGTGGCTATTATATTTACATCTGAATATCGTGGGGAACTTCTAATTTTCTTTTTGGTGCTACAATTTGATTTACTTTTCTTTGGTGGTGTTTTGGATAGAAAAGCCTTTAATGTGTTATTTTCCTTGATAAGATTGGTCACTTGTGAACGGAGGTCGTTATTGTCTAGAATAATGTTTTCAAGTTCATTTTGTGTTGTGGCAAGGTCCATTCGTAGCTGTTCTATGATGTCTCTCATGTCCTGAATAGAGACAACTTCCGTCATTGTGTAATCCATACTTTTTGATAACAAGGTTTCATCAATAGTTAGACCATCGGAAAAAATGTCTGTAGTTTCTTTTCCTAATTCTGAGCTAGCTGGAGTAGATACTGATGTGGTCTCCTGGGCAGTATCAGAAGGTAGGATTACATTATCGCTAATATTGTGTACCAACATCTTCTTCCTCAATGTCACATTGCTCTCCTCGGTAGTTAATAAAGTTTGCACAGCCATTTTTTTATCGCATGATTTGTATTGCCATTTTTTACTCTTTTCTGGATTGCCAACACAAGAAAATTCAAAATAGTTTTTGCATAAGGTGCACACAATTGTGCTTTTATAATCGACACGACTTTTACATTTATAGCATGTAACATTTAATGACCTCTTGCGGCCGCTGTTGGTATCACTTCTAATCTTAGACGACATGGTTAGTTAATAATTAATTGATTGAACGGTAATGACATCAGTTTCTCACGATGCCTGCTAGATGTCGCTGAGTGTATGTATATGTCTAACAAAGAAACGCGCTGATTGGTCAATTCAATCGGTGGTAGTTCAAGTCGTAAGAAAAAACGATCTTTTTATTGCTTCAAAAATATCTTTAGTGCACAGATATCAATATAAATAAGAAATAAGTATTATCACAGAGAGAAAAATACTTATTTCTTATTGCTGTTACAACTATTGTTTACTAGTAAGACGTCAATATTTTGTTTTAAGTTTGTAAATTTTGAAAACACTTACGTATTGTTCATAGCACAATTTTGTCTAAAGTTAGTTTCTGATCACATAAATAACATTCACACACAAAGGTTGCACATAAATATTTTAGCTTATAAACAGTTCACCACAATAATAACTAATCTCTAATTTAATAGAAATAAAACTACGGAGCTGATGTAAACAAGAGTACAGTGTTGCCACCGTTCTATGAGTTGAACAAATAACCATATGCTTATCGTTACTAGAGACCAAGTAGTCTAACCATGCTTTTTTCTTCTTTTTTACAGCTTCTCTCACTTCATCATTCCACCATGCATCTCTTCTTTTACTACTACTTCTTTTTGTCGTTCCACATACTTCTTCCGCTGCACTTACCATTCCATCCCTAAGGTTCTGCCATGTTCTCTCCACACATTCTTTCCGTGTGATATTTGTCCCTAGTATCCGCTTCCTGAAGCTTCCAGTTTCGGATGCGACAGACCGACTGTGCTTCTGTTACTGCCGTCCGGTAGCGCCAACCCGCGAACAAACCCCTAAATCTAGTAATTACTAGACAGTGATCCGTTCCTAGGTCAGCACCCCTGAACACTCGTGTATCCATCACCTGTTTTCGCAGTCGGTCATCCACCAGGAACAAATCAATCATACTTCTCTCATTATTTCTTTCTCTAGTGTACATATGAATTTTCCTGTGATTAAACATAGTGTTTGTCACCAGAATACTCTTTTTCTTGCATACAGCCAGTATAAGCTTGCCAGCATCATTAACCCTTTTATCGCCAAACTTTCCAAGCACCGACTCGTATCCTGGTCGAGCGATACCTACCCACCCACTCAAATCACCACATACAACAGTTCTTTCGTTTCCCTTAACCAAATCTAGAACTTCTCTTACATTCTCCCAAAACTCCTCCAGCTCAGCTCTGGACAATGAAGCTACCGGCGCATAAACAGCCAAAAGGAATAACTTCATCAGTCCTAGTTTAAAGCGAACCCAGAGAAGTCTTGAGTTCACAACCTTGTATTCAGTCATAAGATCGACCAACCGGGACAACAGCACCCCCACTCCCTGGCAGGCGTTCTCGCTTTCCGGGACTCCGGACCATGTAGCTAACCTCCCGCCAGGGAGCTCTTCAGTACCACTGCCTTTCCGTTTGGTCTCCGACATACACACGACATCTAATTCTCTTTCTTTCATTATTTCGATCAACTCATTCGTCTTATCTCTCATGCCCCCTCTAACATTCCACGTGCCAACTCTGCACTCCGTCCTCCACCTTCCGCCGTGTCGGCCTGTGCGTGACGGGTGGCGGTCCCCATCGCCGCTTTGCGCGCTCCATTCCACACCAACGGGGACGAGCTCGTGTGAATCGCCTTCGGGGGATGCCCTAACTCTCGTTTGCATGGGTGCGCAGCTGTGTAGAATTGCAGCCCTGAAAAGGGCTGGCAGGGGTCGCGACGAGCACGCTTCTACAACGACCCCCGTTACCTAAATACCTAGACCGTTTATACGGATTTTATCATGTTTAATTAACTTCTTTTTGATTCCAAACGATTCGGGTGCTTTACAGCACCCATGGTCACGGGGAGGGCTGAGATGTTTGACGTCGTAATGTCATATTTAGCCAAGCTACTTTCAGTTTTTGAATATTAATGGAGTCTTGCAGTGGTATGCTTGGGTTTGGATTTAATTTTGTTTATTATAGGATCCCAAGCAGATGGCAGCACCCATCCATCTTCTCTATTGAAATTAGGATGTTTTTTAATTTCAATAGCCTCGCTTATCATACTTGGTAGGAATCGATGTTCTTCTACGAGGATTTGTGGTTTATCATATCTGACGTAATGGTGGGGACGATCTTGAACATGATCACAGACTGCAAACTTCCCGGAGCGTCGGTGCTTCACGTCAGCTATATGTTCTTTCACGCGGATTTTAAAGATCTTTTTGCTTGTCCTAGGTAAGAAAGACCACATTCACAATCTAGCTTGTTCACTCCTACATCTTCTAGAGGAATATTACACTTGATGTATGATAAAAACTGAATAATTTTTTTCAGCAGCTTGTAGTATGTTTTAAAGGGAGCTCGCTTCAAGATGTAGCTTGTCTGTGACTCCTCTGAGATACGGTAGTACAGCAGGCTCACGCTCAACTGTGGCTGACTTCACTCGGTCACTGTGAAGTAGGCGCGGGAGCTAAAGCTTGTTGTCTTGCAATACTTGCTTGAGGTGCTGAAGCTCGGCGGCCAGATGTTTTCTGTCACAGACCCTTTGTGCTCTCTCAAATTTGATGTAAAATCGGAAGTGGTCATGAGCTCTTTACTAACTATTTTCTTTTCCTTAATTCTTTACTGCCTATCTAAAGTCCTCTGGTGAACATAGACCTTCCACAGATTTATTTGCTTTATAGTTTGCCACATATGTGCCATATTCGCCACGCATGAGAGGCGGATTGGTAACCGCAGTCTTTGATTACTTTGAGTTGTTACCTGGAAGATGCTGCCATGCCCATCTTGTTTCATTTCGCCTCTTACGACAACCACCAGACGATATGAGATAGTGGATATTCTTACACCGCGACTACACTTTTTATTTGTTGATAAAATTGTACAAGCAAAGCAGACTTTAATGCGGCAACTAAATATATCTTAAAACTCTGTGTGATATTACAAAAGTGCTGCGAACCATTTCGTCGCTGCACAGTGCAAAATAATATGAAAACAGTGAATTGTTTAACTGTCTTTACTGCGCTTAAGAGCTACTTTAACAACAAAGAGGAGCGTGAGAAATTTCATTGCATAGTCTACATGAGCTTAAAAGTCGTTCTGCGTATTTGAAATAATAAAAGAAAAAGCGAGTGCATTCTGTATTTTATTACCATTTGTTTATTAAATGACTTTTTTTCTCTTTGTCTGTTGGGTTAAAATTTTGCAAACAATTTAAAGCTCACTTCCCGAAAAGCTAGAGATCTTAAATTTTAAATATGGCTTATAATTAGTAATGTCATAAAAATGTCACTATTTTGATTAGCATTTGTATCTAACTCCACAAAATGATAATAAAAATTGTTTACACCTCGTGCATCAGAATATACAAGTCAAGATAGGCAAAGAGCTAGAAATTGAATTCTTCTTAAATAGCAACAATATTCATATTTTATGTATTACTGAACATTGTATTGATATTAGCTCATAATTTAATGTTTAATTTCAGTAATCACCAGGTGGTCAGTTATTTCAATAGAGAAACAATTTTAAGAGGTGGCTCCTTAATTTTAGCTAGCAAATTATTATCATGTAAAGAACGTAAAGGTATTGTGTGTTGAGCAAACTGTAGAAATGGCATGCGTTGAGTTTGAGCACTTCATTGTTGTGAGCGTTTACAGACCCCCATGTTCTTTATATAATACTTTTGAAAGATTATGGAGGAAATTTTTGCTAAGCTTAATAAACAGAATAAATTTATTGTAACATGTGGAGACTTTAATATCAATCTCCTAGAAGCTTCCTCTACCAATATTAAATTTAGATCATTGTTTAAATCTTATGGTCTTTTTAATTTATTTTTGGAGCCAACACGTATTGCCGAATCTAGTGCAATATGTATAGATAACATTTTTATAAGCCGTTCAATAAATGTATAATTCAAAAATTGAGCTCTGATCACTGTGAACAATTAGTTTCGTTACCTTATGTTCACAAAAAGCAAGTAGATAAAAAATTTGTGTTTGTTACAGTAAATGCACATCGCTTGCAGAAGTTTAGAAGTAACATAGTAAAAACTTCCATTACTTTCATACCAAAATAATCCAAATTTTTTTTATGGAACATTATTTAAGCTCATTCACAATGAATTTAATAATACTTTTACTTCTAAAATATTCTCCTTGAACAATCACAAGGCATTTAATGAATGAGCGACAGTAGGAGTCCATAAGAGTAGACAAAGGTTATATAAACTTTACAATGAAAGATCATATAATCCTAGTGTCGAATTTAGGGAATATGTAAAAAAATATTCCAAAATATTTAAAAGAGTGTGCTTCTTAGCCAAGTCATTGTATTTGAGCATTAAAATAAAGAATTCTAATAAAATTAAAATGACATGGAGTATAATTAATAGTGAAACTAGTAAGGTCGATTCTCGCAATTCAAACTACCAGTTAAGTTTTAACAATAAATTAACTAAATCAGATCATTTTAGTTAATTTATTGTTAAAAATTAACTGGTAGTTTGAACCACCAAGACCATTCAGATTAACCACCAATTAAAAGATTAGTCACTGAATTCTTCTCCTGCCAAATTTTACATTTCATAAAGTGTCATCAAAAGGTATTGTAAAATATTTTAAAACTATTGATATTGAAGTTATAGCGTCTATAATAGATACAATCGCACCTCAACTATCTATTATTTTTAATACTAGTATCGAATCTGGTCTGTTTCCTGATTTAATGAAGCATAGTAAAGTAATACCTTTATATAAATCTGGTAGTATATTGGACCCC